CAGGGGGTTGGACTAGATGGCCTGTATGGACCCTTCCAGCTCTGTATCTTTGGGTATGGTAACCAAGCCAAAAAATGTACAGACAAAGCTGTGTCAATTAAACCAAAGGAAATATCTTGGCAACAAAAGTCCTGTTTTACAAGTGCCAAGAAACTTGTGAACATCAAAAGATTATGTAACCAGGAAGTCACTGCAGAATTTTTTTTTTCTGCTGTACCTTTCTGCTTGAGCCAGTTTGGTGTAGTGGTTAAGTGTGCGGGCTCTAATCTGGGAGAACCGGGTTTGATTCCCCACTCCTCCACTTGCACCTGCTGATGTGACCTTGGGTCAGTCACAAGCTCTGGCACAGCTGTCCTTGAAAAAGAGCAGTTTGTGTCAGAGTTCTCTCAGCCCCACCCACCTCATAGGGTGTCTGTTGTGGGGAGGGGAGGGGAAGGGAAAGGAGTTTGTAAGCCGCTCTGAGACTCCAAGTGAAGGGTGGGGTATAAATCCAATCTCTTCTTCTTCTTTTACAAAAACCTGTATGTGTACATACATCCCACAGGCAAGTGAGATTTGCAAACCAGAGCTGAAGAATAGGAATTAGCTGTAGGAATTCAGATGGTGATTACTGTGAATATCAAAGCTGGTTATTCTATGCTGTTCAGGATTGGAACACTAGGATATGTACCTTTGGTACAGATGCTGTTATTTGAACAGAACTTGCCTGAGAGCAATGTTTCTCATGATATCCTTGAGGATAAGCGTGGGCTGGATGGTGCAACCGTTGGATGGATTCATGGTTGGTTGAAAAATCGTACCCAACGAGTGCTTGTAAATGGCTCTGCGTCTACATGGAGGGAAGTCTCGCGTGGAGTGCCGCAGGGCTCGGTCCTAGGCCCGGTGTTGTTCAGTGTTTTTATAAATGACCTGGAGGAAGACATAGAGGGGAATGCTTATCAAATTTGCAGATGACACGAAGCTGGGTGGGATTGCTAATTCTGAAGAAGACAGAGTCAGGATTCAAAATGATCTAGATAGGCTGGAACAGTGGGCTGAGACAAATAAAATGAATTTCAGTAGAGAAGTGCAAAGTCCTACACTTAGGTACAAAAAATCAAAAGCACGGATATAGAATGGGAGGGACTCGGCTTGACAGGAGCACATGTGAAAGGGATCTGGGTGTTCTGGTTGATCAGAAGCTAAACAAGAGCCTGCAGTGCGATGTGGCTGTGAAGAAAGCTAATGCAATCTTAGGATGCATTAACAGAAGCATTGTGTCCAGATCACGGAAGGTGGTAGTTCCGCTCTCTTCTGCTATGGTCAGGCCGAAAGAGAAGCCTTAGAGGGGACATGATTGCAGTCTTCAAGTATTTGAAGGGCTGTCATGTAGAAGATGGGGCAGATCTATTCTCTCTTGCTCTGGATTGCAAGACTAGATCTAATGGGTGGAAATTACACGGGAGTCGTTACCGGCTAAATATCAGGGAAAACTTCCTAACTGTAAGAGTGGTTGAGCAGTGGAACAGTCTGCCTCGGGAGGTGGTGGATGCTCCTTCGCTGGACATTTTCAAGCGGAGGCTGGATAACCATCTTTCGGGTATGTTGTAGGGCTATCTTTCAGCTATGCTCCTGCAGAGTGCAGGGGGTTGGACTAGATGACCTGCAAAATCCCTTCCAACTCTAATATTCTATGATTCTTTTATTCCATCCTTGAAAAAGATAATTTAATAAAATGGCTTCATAACCAGAACTAAATCTTACAATATAAACAATGAACAGATTAGTTTTAAAACATGTATTTCTATGGCAAAGTTAATTCTAAACTCAGAGATGCTGTTGCTTATCAGGGGTGTCAAACTCATTTGTTATGAGGGCCGGATCTGACATAAATTAGACCTTATTGGGCTGGGCCATGTGTGTCATAAAATGTAATGCCAGGTAGCGGAGATATAAACTTCATAAAGGACACGACAAACACAATTAAAGATTTTTTAAAACTTTAAATAACAGTGTCTGATAACTGTCACCTCTTGCTCCGAATTATTGCATCAAAATGTCTGTGCTGTAGCAATCTTGAGTATGCTGTTCAAGTGTGTATCTGTGGCTGCTAATCTACTTTTGATTTATTGACATTTATTATAGAAATTTCATGCTCAGTGTTCTGAGCCTAGAACCCAGGGGAAAACATGAAATGGCTGGGCATTGTGAGCTTATGTACATAAGTTGCTTCATGTGCTGGTCAAGAACATGAGAAGGCATCCTGACACAGACTGAGGGCTGTTTGTTTGTCTACAAAACTATAGTCTTCCCCAGAGAAATAACTACCAACTTCCTACAAAGGAAATGTGCTGGATGAACTCAGTCTGGACACACACTGTCAGCCTAATCCACCTCACTGGCTTCTTGTTATTCCTCCATTAAAATAGTTCACATTGCTTTCTTACTGAGAAAGACTGGATCATGAGGGTATGAACACAGTAAAAAGGAGGAGGGAACTCATAAGGAGTCCAACGAAACCCACACACACACAGCATAAGGAGCCCAACAGAATACACACACACTGTAGCAAGGCACATAAAAGCTCATACCTTGAACAAAACTTTGTTGGTCTTAAAGATGCCTGGCATTTCTGCTGTGTGATTGAGGCAGCCCAGCAAAGCAAGCTTTCCTTTGTTCCCTCCCTCCCTGCCTTCCTTCAGGGAGGAGCCTCAGCCAGTGGAAGGAAAGAAAGGCTTCCCTTTGTCTCCTGGATATGATTGAGGCAGCCTGGCCAGGAAGTGAACTCTGGCTGGTTCCCTCCCTCCCCCTGGGATGAGGAGGGGGAGGAGCCTCAGCCAGTGCTTACCAGACTCTCAATCACACAGGAGAGGCTTGCCTATCTGTCTCTCCTGTGCGATTGAGAGAGTCTGGTAAAGTAAGTTGTAATGTAGCAGCAGCAGCACAACTGGAAAAGGAAGCAGGAAGCAGCCAGGGCCTTGTGGGCCGGATTGCAGCCCTCCGAGAGCCTGATCTGGCACCCGGGCCACATGTTTGATACAGAGCTGGTTTTGCCTTACCAGATGGGTATGCTGACATGGGTGAGAGAATGGATTACCTTGGAAAATACAAGACTATTAAAACTAGAAGGACATGACTTATTACTGGGTTGGCACGCATTTGCATGGTATGATAGAGACAAAATACATAAATATTTCAAGCAACATATTCATAGAAGAGCACTACTGAAAGTATGGGAAGAAACGAAAAGACTTTTCTATACTAAAATACCAGAATGGGTCTCACCACATGAAGCTTTCACAAACCCAAATTTACTCCAAAAAATTTTATTGTATAGATATGAAGATCTACGGGACAACCAAAACCAACTAAAGACAATAGAGAACCTCAAAAAACAGGATATACACTTGAGCTGGTGGGAAAGAGCAAAACTAGAATCAAGATTTGTGAAAGATAAACAAACGGGCTTTATGAAAAGCCGACTGAAATAGATAAAATACTGATTTATACAGGTGATAAGCTTATTAAGAAATTGTATGCTATAATGTTAGAAATTAAAACCCAAGATGAAGTGGTAAAATGCTCTATGGTAAAATGGGCACAAAATTTGGGGCATAACATTGAGTTAGATCAATGGTCCAAAGATATGGAAAACAAATTACTAACGCTATCTCTTATAAAGAAAATATTTATAAAATGTTTTATAGATGGTATATTACGCCAGATAAGCTATCAAAGTTTTGCCCTAATATGTCGAATAATTGTTGGAAATGTCAAAAGAATATTGGTTTCTTTTTTCATATGTTGTGGATTTGTGATAAAAGTTAGAAATTCTGGGCTTGGATACATGAAATATCGTAAATGAAACATGAACATAACCAAAACAGAGGCTATAAGAACATTTATGTTAAATCGTGCAAAGCTATGCTTAATAATATAGGGTGTAGAAATATTCTTATATTGAGAGGTGTATGGATAAAACAGTCAATTTAAAAAGCAGGAGAGATTCTCCCATTTAATGTTTGTATTGTTTGTTTGTCTATGTTTGTTGTTACAAAAATAAAAAAACTATGATCTCTAGACACTCCTGATTTACATCATGCATTCAGAGGAGAAAATTAAATGGTTTTGATAGTCATGTGAGTTTCACATAATTGGGCCTATATAAGATAGTCTCGTGTAATCTAAATCTGAGAGATTCAAGGGTGAGGCTATCTAATCTTTTTGAATGCGCTTTGATAAGTATCTTAGAAATTGTATTTTATTTTTCAGTCTTAAAATAGAAAAGATATGCATTTTTTCTCGTTTTGATTTCATTGGCATATGCAAGTATTTTTGTATTATTGTGCGTCTTTCATATTTAATAACTTTAAGAGTGATTAGATTGATTTTATATAAAAACCGATAACATCAGTGATCTTTGGTTGGGATACAAGGTCTTCATTTTGTATCAGGAATAAACTTCTGACTTCTCTTCAGTCAGAGTACTGATAGCCTGTAGAGATGATTGTAGGAGAGAATAGCCATCTCTACACAGCCATGTGGTTTAGTGGTTAATATATTGCTTAGGAACAGAGACTCTTTGTTTCCACATATCTGTTTTAGAGAGAATGTTTCCCCTATACACCTTGGCAACTGTCAAAAGGCTGTTCTAAGGTATACTCATGTTTCAGTGTTCCCTCTAAACTGCAGAGCCTTGTGAGCAAAAATGCTACTTTGTGAGCTCCTGGCATTAAAGTTGTGAGCGAGCGATTTGGCTACTGCATGAATTAGTTTGCTCTGGAGCCCTCCTTCCTGAGCTAAGACAAAAATGTGTGAGCCGGAGGCTAAAAAACCATGAGCTAGCTCACACTAACTCAGCTTAGAGGGAACACTGCTCATATTAACTTGATTATGTGGAGGAAAGAACATAACTTTTTAATACTAGACTCTTTCATTTCTTAAATGGAACGCCATCTGTTAAAACACTGCTTTCAATCTGCTCTTTTCTTAACAGTGACCTTCTTACCCCTTATTTCTAGGCCAAGAGGAAGTTGGATCTAGAAGGGACGGGTCAGCAGTGTATCCCAGAGTTCCGGACCCCAAAGGGCAAGGGGAGAACATTGTCCCACATCCCAAGTCCAAAAAGTAAGCAGTGCTACCCTTAACTGGGGAGGAGCATTTGTCTTTAAATATGTCTTTAAACCTGCATTCTTGCTCTTCAGAAACAAGTTTCTAGTTTATATTTATTTATTTATTATTAAATTTATACCCCGCCCTTCCCCGTAGGGCTCAGGGCGGCTAACAAAGGCAAGAAAGACTTGCAATAAAAATCTATACTCTCATACAATTAAAAACGACATATACAATTTAAAAACCAATAAAACAATTAAGGTGCTCAATAACCACAATCATTCCAGAATCTCAGAAACCCAAAGAGGGCGACCACAACCCTACTGCAACCCAAGCATTCCCGGTAGGCATTGATAATAGATGTTAATAATAGTTCTACCCGGCCTCCTAAACCCTAACCCCCCCAAGATGGTATATAGCCGGGGGGGGGGGGGGGGGGGGGGCGGCAAGCCGTAGAAGAGCTCCGTCTTACAGGCCCTGCGGAACTGCGCCAGGTCCCGCAGGGCCCGGATCTCCTCAGGGAGCTCGTCCCACAAGGTGGGGGCCGCCACTGAGAAGGCCCTAGCCCTTGTGACGGCCAGTCTAGCATCCTTGGGGCCCGGAACAGTTAGAAAATTCTGGGCCCCAGACCGTAGCACTCTTGGGGGAACATACGGGGAACATACGTAGCACTCTTGGGGGAACATAGTTCTTATGCCCTTAGAGATTAGTCTGAAAATATGGTGCATAATGAAAGTTCTGAAGCTGCAGGGAACTTAAGTGCTTTAGTGCTTTCCAGAGTTTCCTGGGGAGGGAGGGAGGAATGGGGCCTACAAAATTCCTTGAGCATGTGTTGCTCTGGTGGCTCCCAGAAGCCAGGCAATCTTTCTACCTTGCCTTGCTGCCATGCTCTCACTCACACAAAAGCTTATACCTTGAATAAGACTTTGCTGGTCTAAATCATAAAGGTGCCACTGGACTCAAACTTTGTTCTCCAGCGTGACACCTGTAATCTTGGGGCTGCAGCAACACTTAGAAGCCCCTCTAGGAATTCATAATTACTTACTGGATCCCTTGCTTGACGTGAAATCATAGCAAGTGCTCTTCTGCAGCAAAAGAACACTTTTTGTTTCTCAGTTAAGTGAAGGGTTAAAGTGAGCCATGCGTTCCTAAAACAGCTTTTCCTCCTCTGTTTCATTATGGGCTAGGAATCAGGCTTGTTGTAGCAGTGAAGACAACGGGCGCTAGCTTGGTCGGCCGGTCGCAGGGCCCCGCCCCCTTCCCGGCACCCCTCGGCCGCCTAAGTCCCCGGTGGGCGATGGCCGCTGGAAGAGTTCCCCCCCTCCCGGCCGGTCAAGGGGCTGGTGGACCCTGGTGGGTGGTGTCATTCCTCCCACCTGCCCTCTGGAGAGCAGGTCTACCCACCCCCCTGCACTACCTTGGTAGACCAGCCCTCTGGAGAACAGGTCTACCCACCCCATTTCACTATATTAGTAGACCTGGCCTGTGGAGAACAGGTCTACCCACCCCATTCTACTGTTCGTAAAACAGCTTTTCCTCCTCTGTTTCATTAAGGTCTAAGAATCAGGCTCGTAGCAGTGAAGACAACGGGTGCTAGCTTGGCTGGCCAGCCGCAGGGCCCCGCCCCCTTCCCGGCACTCATCGGCCACCTGAGTCCCTGGTGGGCGATGGCTGCTGGAAGTGTTCCCCGCCACGGCCGGCTGAGGGGCTGGCAGACCCAGGCGGGTGGCATCGTTCCTCCCACCTGCCAGAGGGCAGGTCTACCAAGGTAGTGCAGGGGGGGGGGTAGACCTGCTCTCCAGAGGGCAGGTCTACCAAGGTAGTGCAGGGGGGGGGGTAGACCTGCTCTCCAGAGGGCAGGTCTACCAATACAGTGGAGTATGCCACTATATTGGTAGACCTGGCCTGTGGAGAACAGGTCTACTCACCCCATTCCACTGTACTGGTAGGCCTGGGGTCTGGAGAGCAGGTCTACTCACCCCCTTCCACTATCTTGGTAGTCCTGGCCTCTGGAGAACAGGTCTACCCACCGCATTCCACTTTATTGGTAGACCTGGCCTTTGGAGAACAGGTCTACCCACCCCATTCCCTGTATTGGTAGGCCTGGCCTCTGGAGAGCAGGTCTACCCACCCCCTGCCACTATAGTGGTAGACCTGGCCTCTGGAGAACAGGCCAACCCACCCCATTGCACTGTATTGGTAGACCTGGCCTCTGGAGAACAGGTCTACCCACCCATTTCCACTGTATTGGTAGATGTTCCCTCTGGAAGGGAGGAAGAATGATGGCACCTGCCAGGGCCCGCCAGCCCTTTGGGTGGCTGGGTGGGGGAACCTCCTGCAGCCTTTGCCCGCCGGGGACTCACGGAACCAAGGGGTGCCGGAAACGGGGCAGGGCCTTGTGGCTGGGCGGCCAAGCTAGTGCCTGTTGCCTTCACCGCTACAATGGTCCTGATTCCTATGGGGTAGGTAGACCTGTTCTCCACAGGCCAGGTCTACCAATATAGTGGAATGGGGTGGATAGACCTGTTCTGCAGAGGGAAGGTCTACCAAGATAGTGGAAGGGGGTGGGTAGACCTGTTCTCCAGAGGGCAGGTCTACCAACATAATGGAAGGGGGTGGATAGACCTGGTCTCCAGAGGCCAGGCCTACCAAGACAGTGGAAGGGGGTGGGTAGACCTGTTCTCCAGAGGCCAGGTCTACCAAGATAGTGGAAGGGGGTGGGTAGACCTTGCAGAGGAAGGCAGAAAGAGGGAGGGAGGGAGGCAAAGAATGGAAAGAGACAGGGAGGGTGGAAGGAAGGAAGAGAAAGGGGGGAGGAGGGGGGAGGGCAAGAAGGCAGGGAGATGGGGAAGAAGGGAGGGCTCTTAACGTTAAGCAAGTTTGGCCAGCTCTGCTATAGAGAGATCCATGTTACATCTATATGGGACACAGAAATGATGCAGAGGGTAACGGTGGCTGCGGTCACACGGAGCATTAGGCACGCTAGAGAGACGGAAGATAGGCGGATTTTCTGGGCGCGATCTCACCGCCACATCTGGGAAGCATAGCGCTCCTGTGGCTTACCCGAAGCTTCACTCCGAAGATGCACGGTAAAAAACTAGTACCTCGGAGGTACTAGTTTCCGGAAACTGCGGGGCAAGGGCGGGCCCGTGATCGCGTTTCCGGTGGAATCCCATGGCATCCGGCGCCCGCCCATGTCCCCTCGCAAAAAGGTTTTTTTTCTCCAAGTGTCCTCAGGATGTGCACAAGCACCCAACGGGGCATGCGCACACATCGGTGTACAGAAAAAAAACCACCCGTTTGCCATGGCGCGCCGCTTCTTTGCCGTGCCCCAGGATTGTGGTGTGATCGGCACCTCCCCCCTACCACGGGACCTCCACGGGATGTCTGTCTGCGCAACTGCGCGCTATTTTGCCCCGGGGCAAACAGCCACGCTTCCCCCCCCCCCGCATTTTCCTGCCCGTGTGACTGCAGCCCAAGATAATTTTCCTCTGAGGAAAGGCTGAAAAGTGTGGGACTTAGAAAAGAGATGACTAAGTGGGGGGCAGGATAGAGGTTTGTAAAATTATGTATGGGGTAGAGAGAGTGTACAGAGAGAACCTTTTCTCCCTCTCCCCAAATACTAGAACTCAAGGGAATCCAATGAAGCTGCTGGGCAGTAGATTCCGGATGGATAAAAGGAAATTCTTCTCTGTATAACAAGTAATAAAATGTGGAATTCACTGCCAGAGGATGTAGTGATGGCCACAGGTGAGGATGCCTTTAAAAGGGGATTGGACAGATCCATGGAGGATAGATCTGTCAGTGGCTACTAGCCATGGTGACTAAAAGAAACATCCACAATCAGAGGCAGTCAACCTCTGAATCCCAGTGCAAGGAGGCAACGTCATGGGAAGGCCTCAGCCTCTGTGTCCTGTTGTTGTTTCTCCAGAGGAGCTGGCTGGCCACTGTGAGACAGGATGCTGGACTAGATGGACCACTGCAGGGCTCTTCCTATGTAGTTATAATACTTAGGTTCTATCCTGCCCCCACTTGCATGTGCTTTGTTGCTTCCCAAATTGGACTGTCACGTGTACATAGAGCTGCTTTGAGAAGTTCTTGGAAACAACTCCCAGCGACTGACAAGACCAAGCCACTTTGATCAGATCACACCTTTCTGTTGCATTTCCCCCAGTTTCTGTGTTGGTTTAGTTCTGATTGTGCCCTTTGAAACCAGTTGGGGATCAGGATATGTTCTCTGCAACCCTAATAGTATGCCTAGGTCTTACGAAGAGGCAGTGTCTTAGATCCAGCATCAATTTTCCTCTCATGTGAGGCACTTCTGTCAGTGGAGCAGAACATGCCTTCCCCCTCCCTCTCCTCCTCCTGCAGCCGATTTCCCCCAAATGCTGCTTCTGGGGGACCAGAGACCAATGCTCCCTCTAAGCTGTGGAGTCTTGTGAGCAAAAATTCCACTTTGTGAGCTACTGGCATTTAAGTTGTGAGCAAGCGATTTGGCTACTGCATAAATTACTTAGCTCTGGAGCCACCCTTCCTGAGCTAAGACAAAAATGTGTGAGCTGGAGGCTAAAAAGCTGTGAGCTAGCTCACACTAACTCAGGGAACACTGCCAGAGACCCTCTGTGTATGCTGTACTGCACTGCAGGCTCAAGCCCAGTGAGAAAGTACAATGGTGTCATGCTACCTAACCTGCTGCCCTCACTAAGCCTCTGAGCAAGCCAACAATCTGGCGTTTTACCTCCCACCTGGAACCAATTTGAACCTGCCTTGGTGAAGATGAATGGTGTTGTGATTGCAGAGAGGTGTGCAAAGCACTATGGGGCCACTAGGGGGAGATATGTACCCACACTTAAGCATCAGTGCCGTTGTACAGCCATTATGGAATTCAGTCACATGTGGGGAAAGGGCACCAGAACTGTCTGGTGCAAGTGTACAGGGGAAGGAACTGAATTCTTCGACTGCAGATCTTCCCTTGACTCCTGGATCATGGTCAAGTCTGTTTCATACCTTGCAAAATGAACTCCGCAGTCTGTGCTCAGAATTTTCTGTTTACTTTGATTAATTTGTTTATAGTTTGGCTTTCTTGCTGAGACTCAAGCAGGGCTGTAGCCCACATTGGGGCATTGGGGGTGACGCCCCCCCAGATGACCCCCGTCACTGGATAACCCCCGCCAGACCCCCCCTCCCCCCCAACCTCCAGGTCCTGCAAAGAGATGCACCAAATCCTGCCTACTCAGCTCTCCTCAGCATCAGCATGGTGGCTTGGCCTGCCCTGCCCCCCCCCCGCAAAAAAATCCTGGCTATGGGGCTGGAGTCAAGGTAGATTACAAAATGTGTAAAAAAAAAGGATCAGACCACAGACCACATAAGACATCCAATAAACAATGCAGTAGGAGTAGGAAAACAAGCCAACAACTCCTAAGGCATGCCATGCCATAGCAAAGGAAGTGGGTTGTCTATAGAAGTCTATCACATTCTTAAGACATTTCTTGAAGGAGCTCATAGCAGCATGCATGATTCTGTTCTCCATTTATTCTCACAACAGCCTTGCAGGGTAGGATTAGGCTGACTAGCCCAGTTGCACACTGATGTCCTTGTAGGGTGAAGTAGATATATGAACCTGCTTCCACCTACCTTGTAGAACATTCCTTGTATCTATTCCTGATGCATTAATCCACAAACTTCTAGCGTAGGAAGAGCCGAGTCCACAAGAAGCAGAATTTACGCTTCTTGTGACTCAGTAGAAAAAGCAGCAATGCATGGCATCGGAATTTTCTGTTCTTTCCCCCCAAAAAAACAATTTATTTGGATATAATGCAAAACAAAAAATTCAAACGTATATCAAATACACTTATATATCCTTCCCTCCTCCCTTCCCCCCCCTTCTCAGCTTCCCACAGTGCTCCAACCTCCAGCCCAATTCTTAAATTTCCTTCATAACCCCCTTTCTCTTTTTTCACTTCCACAGGTAACTTATCCTTCAACCGTTATTCTTATACCTTTATCTATTTTCTACTGTCCTTTAACTTTCAATAATTCTCAAAGCAAAGTAAATTGTTCTTTACATCCCAATATTTCTCCAAATAGTCTTTAAAGTCTTTCCAGTCTGCAAAAAAATTCTTCTGCTTCCAAATTATTAAGTTTCCTTGTCATTTTATCCATTTCAACCATAAAAAGTAATTTTTAATCCATTCCCCAATTTCAGGGATCTTATCTTGTTTCCAACATTGAGCATACGTCATTCTGGCAGTCGTAATCATATACCACATCAATGTCCTTTTTGCCATATTGACTTCTTCCATTTTAAGTCCCAAAAGTAGTATTTCCGGTTCTTTCTTAAACTTACATTTCACAATTTTTTTCCATTTCTGCATGTATCTCATCCCAAAACGTTTGCCTTTTCACATGTCCACCACATATGATAGAATGAGCCCTCTGCATTTTTACACTTCCAACATTTGTTTGACATATTACTATTCATATTTGCAATCTTTTTGGTGTCATATACCATCTATACATCATCTTATAACAATTTTCTTTTAAATTATTACATGTTGATGTATTCATTGCATTCTTCCATAAATATTCCCAAGATGACATCTGTATTTCTTTATTCATGTTAACCGCCCATTTTATCATCTGCTCTTTAACTGTCTAATCCTCTGTATACCATTTTAACAGAATCTTATACATTTTTGAAATATGTTTTTTACCCCCCTCAAACCATACATTCTCAATATCATTATAATTCTTCCTAAACCCAAAAGCTTTTTTTATCTTTTTTGAACAAATCATTAATCTGTCTATATTGCAACCAACCATATTTAAAAGCCAAGTCCTCTTCCATTTTCATTTCAAGTGTTTTTCCCACTGGATTTAACATGTCCCTATACTGTACCCAGTCTTCAGGAACTTTCTGTTCTTACAGTTATTTTTGTACCCATCCTTTTACCTAATTGGTGGATGGGTTGTTTTAACAATACATGGTTTGATTGTAAGAGGGAGATGGGTAACTTGGGATCTCGAGGATGGGGGAGAGAGGTAGAAGGTAAGAGGATGGATGGATGGACTCTTCCTCCAGTAAAACCGGTTGCTGGTTAAGGGCTCTACAGTGGAAGGGAGGGGCTGTGATTCATTGATTGAGCACTGTGAAAGGTCTGAGGTTCAATCCTGGCATCTCCAGTTAAAAGATCTCAATACTGGGAAAGACCTCTGTACAAGGCCTTGGAGAACAGCTGTCAGTCAAGGTACTATCCTGCTAGGTAATATAAGGCAACTTCCTGTGCACAGTCATGAGGACTAGAAAATTTGGCCTGATTTTCTCCATATGGAATTGTGGAAGAGGAGCATGCTAATGACGAAATCTTCATCCTTTTCCAGCTACCTAACCATTCTGAGTAATTTCCTTTGTTTGTGCCTTAGCCCCTAAATCGCCCGGAGAGAAGACCCGCTATGACACATCGCTGGGCCTGTTGACGAAGAAGTTCATTCACTTGCTCAGTGAGTCAGAGGATGGCGTGCTGGACCTGAACAGGGCCGCGGAGGTGTTGGATGTCCAGAAGCGACGCATCTATGACATCACCAATGTCTTGGAGGGGATCCAGCTCATTCGGAAGAAATCCAAGAACAACATACAGTGGATGTAAGTGTCATGGGGAAAGAAGTACCCCAAGTGATTTAGTGATTGATGTCTGGTGGTTCCAACTAGGGACTGGGTTTCATTCACCCTTCTCCAGTGAGATCAACCCAAGTGGCTCATGTAGGGTCTTTGCAGGGAGGTTGCTGAAGAGCTCTCGGTGGTGGCCTTTCCACTCCCAAAGCTGCCCTTGCCATAAGAGAGACAGTCTTTCGCAACGTCCTGACCTGTCTGGACGCTAACTTCCTTCATCAAGTGGTGGAGGAAGCTACGAGGTGCTCCGTCATACTCGACTTACTGTTGACCAACAGGCAAGAGATGGTAGATGGGGTGAAGGTGGTGGGGACCTTAAGGGGAAGTGACCATGTCCTACTAGAATTCCTTTTGCTGTGGGGGACCAAGGAAGTTCGTAACCTCACGTGTCAGTTAGATTTCAGTAAATCAGACTTTAATGAACTCAGAGGTATGACGAGAATCATTCCATGGGCGAGACTGCTGGGAGGGAAAGGGGGCCAGTGAAGAGTGGGCTCTCCTGAAACAAGAACTCTTGTAAGCTCTGGCTATCGATTCCAACGAAAAGGAAACATGGTAGCGAATCCAAGAAGCCAGTGTGGATGAACGGAGAACTGCGTGATGTGCTAAGGGAGAAAAAGGAAATGTTCAAGAAGGCAAGGACATACCTCTAAAGAAGAGTATCTGCGGGTTGCTAGGCACTGTAGGTCAGCCATCTGAGAGTCCAAAACTCACAGTGAGCTAAAGCTGGCCAGGGAGGCTCACTACAACAAGAAACTCTTCAGATATGTGAGGCGCAGATGCAAGATAAAAGAGGCGATGGGCCCACTGTTGGGTGAAAAGGGAGAAACTCTGACAGAGAACAGAGAGAAAGCAAACAGGCTCAAAGCCTATTTTGCCTCAATTTTCCCCCTGAATAAGAGAACAGGCTCATCTAGAGATGGTAGTAGGCAAGTCACCGCATCTGGGCTGCTGGTTGACATGGACAGAGAGGTAGTTGAGAAGCACCTGGCTGCACTGAATGAGTGCAAATCCCCCGGGCCAGATAGTATGCACCCAAGAGGGCTCAAAGAACTTTCTAGAGAGCTTGCAGAGCTCTGGCCTTTGTCCATCATCTTCCAGACCTCTTGGAGGAAGGGAGATATACCACAAGGCTGGAGGAGGGCAGATGTTATCCCAATTTTCAAACAAGGGAAGAGGGATGACCCAGGAAACTACAGGCCAATCAGTCTGGCCTCTGTCCCAGGGAAGATACTGGAGCAGATTTTAAAGGGCTCAATCTGTGAGCATCTGAAGGACAACTTGGTGATCTGGGGAAGTCAGCACGGATTTGTCCCCAACATGTCCTGCCAGACTAACCTCATTTCCTTCTTTGAGCGAGTGATGAGCTTATTGGATCGATGGAATGCTGTTGATATTGCTTACCTGGATTTCAGTAAAGCTTTTGACAGGGTTCCCCATGATGTTCTGATGGGTAAACTAGAGGACTGTGGACTAGGCTGTAGGATAGCTAGGTGGATAGGGAACTGGTTGGAGAACCGCACTCAGAGAGTAGGTGTCAATGGCATTTCATCTGAATGGAGGGAGGTGTCCGGTTGAGGTGCCACAGGACTCAGTTCTGGGCCTGATACTTTCCAGTATTTTTATAAATGATCTGAATGAGGGTGTGGAGGGGCTACTCGTTAAATTTGCAGATGACACTAAATTGGGAGGAGCAGCGAACAGGAGAGGTATAATTTCCACCATTTTCCCTTTCCTCTTGTAGACCTCTTATTTGCCTTTTGGATCGTCCCCTGTCTCCCGGGAGCAGTATTGTGGGGAGACCAGTGGGAACTGGGGAGGCAGAAAAGTTCTGTTCTGCTGAAGGAAGTGCCTTCCATTAGTGGAAAGTCTAGTTGGGCTCCAACCTATAGAATCCAAACACGTGAAAGGGATCCAATCCAGAATCTGTGTGGAGATCCTTTAGTTCTCCAGTGGTCCAGGATGGGGCAGTCTTCCACTTTGGGGAGAAACTCCTGCCTATAGGCAGGCAGGGTTGCCGATCTTTTTTTTGTGATCTTTTTTTGCGATTCCTGAAGGGGTGGGGCTTCTCTCGCTGGCTCCAGTCTTCAGCCCTGCCTCGAGGCAGATAGAAGTTGTCAGCTGTGCTCTGTTCGGGCCCCGCAATTCCAGATTATTTATTTCTCTTTTTACTTATTTCCTTTTCTTCTGTTATATTTCTATTACTTTTGGTCTCTTTTTTTTGTTTGGGAGACTGACCAGGGAGTAAGAAGGACTTGGTGTTGTCAGTTTGGTGTAGTGGTTAAGTGCGCGGACTCTAATCTGGGAGAACCGGGTTTGATTCCCCACTCCTCCACTTGCACCTGGCTGGATGACCTTGGGCAAGCCGTAGTTCTGGCACAGCTGTCCTTGAAAAAGAGCAGTTTCTGTCAAGAGTTCTCTCAGCCCCACCCACCTCACAGGGTGTCTGTTGTGAGGAGGGGAAGGGAAAGGAGTTTGTAAGCCGCTCTGAGACACCTTTGGGTAGTGAAGGGCGGGGTATAAATCCAATCTCTTCTCTCCTCTCCTCTTCTTCTTGTCGTCCCCCCCTCCCAGAGCTGAGATTTTGCCGCAGGAACAGGGAGACGTTTGCAGGGGTGAGGACTCTTCTCCCCAGCTCGCTCGCCTCCCCCAGGATCCCCCACGCCACGGGGTCTCCAGCCCTCGGACTGGGAGCCTCCCCAGTCACTCCACTCGAGCAGGAGCGCCAGTGGCTGTCACACTGGAGCACTCAGGCCCTCCACACGATTTCTAAAGGCTTTACTTCCGAGTAGAAAAACACCACCAATTTTATATGCATTTCAAAAATATTACTGTAATTTGGACTATAAATTGGACTTTATTTGTGAGATGGACTATTTATAGTAATATTTTTGTAATGAATGTAGAATTATTTTGAATTTATTTGCTTTATTTTGGATTTTAATGTGAGGTTTGTGTATATTTTCTAAGAGATTATTACAGTACATATGGTTTCCTTCACAGTTTGATTGGTGGTGTTTTTCTGTTCTTATCACACATGGTCCCATTTTCTTTACTTCCAAGTAGGCTGGTTGCAGCAAGCCTCAGCGTTTGCTGTTCCTTCAGCCATCTAAAATCCTTCAGAAGCCTGGTAAGAAGGGGGTCTGAATTAGAAGCCCTTGTTCGGGTTTCTTTTGATTTCATTTTTCCTTCCCAGCCCCACAAAAAGTGGGAAATGGCAGCACGGGTAAGCCTCTCTGAGTCCGTGCTCCAGGATAACATAGCCTCTGGCCTTGAGCTCCCCTCCTCGCCCTCTCAGATTCCACATGGATCCCAACATGGGTCAGAGCTGACAGGAGTTCCTGCCTTGGACCTTTCAGGGGATCATAGGCGAGTCTCCTAACATGGATTAAAGGGGAGATGCAGAAGGAGATTAGAGAAGCCATTTCCCAGGCTATGCCTAACCTTAGGGGTTCTTCTCCCTCAGGGCATTCTAAGTCTTCTAGTAGATATAGAGATCGCTCCCCCTCTAGCCAGAGGTGGCACTCAGAGCCCTCTCTGTGGGCACGTGTGCCATCGCCCCAGCCAGGCCCAGACCATCATTAAAGTGTCGAATTCTCTGCCACATAATTTTAAGTAAATGAAAGCATTTGGGATTGCTTTCCTTACTATGTTTGGACCATCTTAAGTTAATGTATGAGTTGTTTTTTCTAAATTGCTGTGTTGGCACTTTGTGATAAATAAGTGGGTTTTGGGTCACAGTTTGGGCACTCGGTCTCTAAAAGGTTTGCCATCACTGAGATATGGTGTCAAAAGGCTACTCACTAGAACTCTCTTCTGTTTCTCCCAACAGATTTCTTCAGGTACAAAGAAACAACTGTCCATGAAAACATCTTCTTGTCCTCAATGCCATTCAGCACATTTTGGACATAGGGGTGATAGAGCCTGTGACAGTTGCCCAAAGGTCTTTAGGGGTTTATTCATATTTTATAGCCCCCCCCCCCCAAAAAAAAAGAACAGGGATGTGAGGGCTATTTTAGACCTCAAATGGCTAAACAGGAGGATAAGAAAGAAGTTCAGGTTGGAGACATCCGTCAATAATCCATGCGGAAGGGAGATTTTCTGGTATCAGTAAATCTGTCAGAGGCCTACTTGCATATTCCAATCCAGAAGTCTCATCAGAGGTTCCTGCATTTTTCATGACAGGCCTCATTTTCAGTACTGGGCTCTTCCCTTTGGCCTCAAAGCCAAGGGTGTTCACCAAAGTTTTGGTTTTGTTGATAGCCCACTCAAGAACACAGGGAGTATCCATTTTTCCATATCTGGGTGACATTGTAATCAGGTCTCCATCCCACCTTTAGGGGATGGAGGATGTATGTCAAACGGTCTCATGCCTCCAGGATCACGGGTTCGTCATCACCTGGGAGAAGAGCAACTTATGTCTATCTCAGAAAGTCCTTTACCTAGGGGTAGTGATAGACACGGTTCAGGACAGAGTTTTCTTGTCACAAGAGAGACAGGAGAAGATTCTAATTGCATTACAGGAACTCATAAGGAGGTCCTAAGTGGAGCTGATGTTACTGGTAAGGCTCCTACGGATGATGGTCTCCTGCCAGGGCTGTATTCTTCTTGCCTACAAGTCCGCAGGTTTAGACCCTCCTCCAGGCGTTATGGCTCATTCCCTCAGAGGGTTGGCTATCTTGGCAGCCTACAAATCTTTTCTCTCTCTCTCGAGGTCATATGCAAGGCTGCCACTTGGAGGTCTGTCCACTCTTTCACCAGTCATTACAGGATTGATAAGTTGTCCTCCGCCAAGGTGGCCTTTGGAAGGAGGGTGCTACAGCATGCCCTCTTGGTCTAGGAGCTGTGTCTTTCCCTCTCAGGGACACACTGCTTTTTTCTGTCCCAGAAATGGAAGACTGCCCACCCTGGATTACTGGAGAACAGAAGATTTGTCTCACTCACTGTGAATCTTCCTTCTCAGTGGTCCAGGG